TTGGATGGCGACTGCGACATGGCGATGGCGGAACCAGGCTCTGGTACCAATTGACAGAAAACCAAACTCGACGAGAGATCGATGAACACACGCGAACACACAGTGGAAGATACGAGAGTATTGGTGCTGCAAAGTGGCAGCGTTTCTTGTTGATTGCTATCTCTATTTAAGCAAAGTACATGCAATATATATGGATACAAATTGACTGAATCAATCACGACACGCTCGTGATCAGCCGCTGCCTTCCCAACGCCCTGGGTCGTTCCGTGCACTAATCTACTTCCTAAAATAGAAGATGTACCCTGGGCTTACTATAACACCCGCGCTGGACATAGGCCCCGTTTGGCCGGGCTCTGGGCAGCTTCGGCTCATGTAATTTGAATCACTGTGGCTGCATTATTCATCGAAGCCATTTTCCTCTCTCCTCCTTTCCTCTCTCACTGACACCACCGGAGCCGGAGAAGCTCATTTTTTTGGCTCCCGTGGCTCCGGCTACTGTGTAGGAGCTAGAGCACGCAGGAGCCCGGCCAAACGGGGCCATAGCATTGCCGCATTTCGACGGAACGATACCAAGACTGCATCAGTTCGGTTCAAATATGATGGTATGGAGTGTCAGTGCCGGCCCTAGGGGTAGGGCACGAGGTGCCACGGCTGAGGGCCCAAGTGGAGGAGGGGTCTAAGCCTAGATATACAAACCTCCAGGTCCTATAGTCTATTAACCATTAGCAAACTAATGAGAAGAGAGACATAGAACTGATCAGACGGTCAAAAAAGACAACTTCGGTATTTCTTTCATAGTTTCCTTTCACCACGACCCTCAGGTAGAGAGGAGGCGAGGAGTCACGCTGCACACTCTGATCGTGAGTTCGCGACGTGCGCCTTACACACGTGGAGCTGGCGAGCCGCGCCGCCGCGAAGAGCTAGACTACCGGAGACACGGACACGGCGCACGAGGACAACGACTAGGCAGGGCTCCACGACAACGACATCTTGATTCTTGGCTTCTTACGCATTGCGATCACCTATCAGTTGTTTAGGTCCAATGTATTTTTTTTCTTTTTAATCCAAATTAATTATTTGTATAGTATTTTAGACTTCTAGTACTTTATACCTATATAGTCATATTTTTCTTCTAATTTAGGTGTTAGAATTCTAGAATGTTACTTAAGAAACATTTGTCATGGGTGAGAAAAGAAAACGAATATATTGCTTTTGTAATCTATATGGTTCCTCGATAATTATCATATATATATATTGCTTAATCTACATGGTTCCTCGATAATTATCACACATGTTAAATTAAAAAGATATTATTAAATTTATTTTCGTTTTGCAAGTAAAATTAGCGTCTATATATTATAAGATTATATATATATATATATAGTTAAGAGGAGTCGTTACGCCGATGTTGCTTGAGGGCCCTTGAAATTGTAGGACTGGCACTGTGGAGTGTACCGATCGAGTACTAGTAAAGCCTTTGATCTATACTACCAAGTAGGAGTACCAAGTACAAGACCATTGTTTGGTGCGGTGTATCTTTTTTCTGTATGTATCTCCGGCCGCAAGTTAATTAACAAGTCTTTTGAACGTATCAGTGTTGTGTCAATTAGGAGAGGATCTAACTAAATCTTGCTAGGTCAGGCCTAAGTGAGATACTACTAGTGAAACCTTTGCAACAAAGGCGATAGGCTATAGGATTAGCATGTCCTTTTGAATTGATCCTCTGAAACCTACTCTCTGAAAACAATCATTTCATCGCTGCACTCATGTGTCTGCTGCGCGTGCTACGCTGGAGCCTGGAGGTAGTACGCTAATAATGCTGGTGATTATCGAGCGAGCCACAGACAGAGATAGTACTCCTACCCAGACCCAACACCTAGCCATAACCGTGGTTTGACTATTAGCCTGGTACTGCATGCTTTTATAACATCAGTCCCGTCTATCAGTAGGACGGAATCACGGCAGATCTGTGCTTGTCAAGGTTGTTAAGTAATTTGCTGGTCTGCGCGGCGGCAGAGGCAGAGTTCGAAAGGGCTCCCTCGCTGCACTGTAGCCATGGTAGTAATAGGTGTTGAAAGGACTCTCCTGCTGCACTGCAACTCGCGGACGTGCTCACCAAGTCGTTCGGCCGTCTTCAGTTCACGGAGCTGAAAAAGATGATCGGTATGGTGGAGGTTCTAAGGTTAACAGCACGATTATAGAAAGAATTGTTAAGTAATCTGCTGCTTTCCTACGTCGGGCGCGGCAAGGCTAGGCAGACATCTGAAAGGGCTCCCTATTTCAGCATTGCATTGTAGTAGCTATATATGAGGGACAGACGGACGAAAAAAGCTCACCTACCGCTCTGTAGCCACAGTGAGGGCAGCGTATCTTTAAAGTGTGCTCTGCTATCACATCTAATCTTCTACCTCTAAGTAACATGTGATGACTGACATGTACGTGTACTAGGATTAGGCCAACAAAAAGTAGAGTTATATATATAACCTCTCACTGCAACTCAGTAAAAAAAGCGTTGCTATCTCCTCTAGAGAGCTTCGATCAATGTTGGTGCTTATATTGTATGTGCGCGCACGCTCTGTTCTCCCTCCTCTCTTTTACCTCTAACATAACGTGTGGTCGACAATGCCTATGAACGATCGGCTCGTCCGTGCGAAAGATCAGTCGACAATGCCTATGAACGATCGGCTCATCCGTGCGGAAGATCAAGGCCAACAAAAGTGCTAATAATCCAAGCGAAGCTCATGCAGGCATTAGCACGTACGGAGTACTACTCCTGCTTTTTTTTACTAACTTTGTTGCCATATTTCGTTTTCCAGCTCAAAGGCAGAAGATGGGTGGTGACCAGTAGGTACGTGTACGCTCGTACTAGGAGTACAAATGTGCAAGCAACGTAGTATCGGCAGGCTGTCAGCGCTTGGCATCCAACGTACTACTCATCGATGGCCAAACTGTTTGAAAGCATGCAGCGGCGCACAAGCACAGGCTCCGTCCATCCATCTGAATTCTGAAAAAGGAGATCTTGTTGGGTCCATTCACATTCATTCAGAGTGCAGGAGTACTCTGCGTGCCATCGCTTTGCTAGTATCGATCTGACCTGACGATGATCGGTGTCATGTGTGTGCTAGTAGCTTAGCTAGCTCACTCTCCTAATTAGCTTTTGTCAGCCGGCCGGCCAACCAGCCAGGTACTCGGATCGAGTCCTTAGCTCGGAAGCAAGCAATTAGCCCCAGCCCAGGCCATGATTACCATGGTTGAAAGCTCACTCACCACTGATGCTTTCGGAAAAGCCGTCATGCATGGCTTCTCTCTCTCTCTTTATTTTTTTTATTTAATCCATGCGCTTCGTCAGTCACACACAAAAAGTCATCAAGTGCTGTACAGCCGTAGACGAAAGACAAAATAGCAGTATAAAGTAGACTGTATCCATTCCATTCATCAGTTGATCTCAAAAGCTCGACAAAAAAAAACACCCAGACCAAACTAGAAGGAACTATAGTTAGCATTTTATCATAAAGAAGAAAATATTTAATCTACTTTTCGGTTTCTTTTTGGTGATAAAACAAAACCAGAGAGGAACAGTGTTTTGACTGCTTTATTGTTAAACTGATTTGTTGTGAGAGAAAAATACTATTCGTTGGTTAAAAAAGTACGTCTTATAAACCAAGCCAACATGACGATGGAGAATGGTGCACACTACAGGCCGAGAGTTTAACTCCCCGTTCTCACCAAAAAGGTGTCACTCTTTGTGCTATTTTCAGTAAAAAGAGTATATGGTCCACTAATAGTTACATTACATTTGTACGTGGCCGCAAACACATTTCTTAATCCTGTAGACTACCTTTCTGTCAATGTCTTAGAGAAGGTCTTATTATCTCTAAGGGTCCAGCTTTTTATGTATGTAAGAAGGAAATGTATAGGAACCTCAAATAAAGTTCGGTGATGATTTAACTTGGCTATGTTGCTCATGGGCCAAGAAAACCAGCTCGGCCTGGTCCAGCGGATAACTCGCAGCCATCAGCCGATAAGGGTTCAGGAGGGTTCGCATCAACTGACACAGCCTGGCTGAAGAGCAGGTTCCAGGTTGCATTACTTGTACTCCGTATGTTCAGAGTTTAAAACAGCAGAATACAAGCGTTTAAACCAGTAGGCTGGTCTGAACGGACAGAGATGGAGTCCCAGTCTCACACAACATTTCTGCATAATACAAGGTGACCATTTTGACAGCTAGTTTTGTCTGTACAAAAACACATGGCCAAGGCCAAATAATTGGAGAAGTTCACAATTGGTGCCAAATAACTGTATCAAGGAACAGTTTCTTCTCATTCCATTGCAGTACATCTTTCTAGCGAAAGATCTTCTCCGGTGCAACAGATCTCAATAAGTTACATTACATGCTAGTGATATAGAGAAGTTCACAATTGGTGCCAAATAACTGTATCAAGGAACAGTTTCTTCTCATTCCATTGCAGTACATCTTTCTAGCGAGAGATCTTCTCCGGTGCAACAGATCTCAATAAGTTACATTACATGCTAGTGATATATATGTTCGCTGGGAGGAATTTAGAGGAATCTGAATGAATCTGGAGGAATTTGTAAGAGAGTGAACAATGTTTTTCATCCGCGCACAGTGAAATCTAGCTGGTTTTTCATTTTTCATCCACGCACAGTGAAATCCGGCTGGTTTTTCAACCAGCCGAACGAGCCCCTAGGGGTTCTTGCTCTCTGAGGGTTGCCAACAAATGCTCCATGTTAGTAGGATAGTGCAACATGTGCATGTGCAGGCCCAGGCCTCAGAATGGCCATGTCAACTTCATGCCACTTCAATACCAAGTGATACAAAATTTCTCAGATTATTTAAATTTAGCAGAGAGGAGCTTCAGAATATAAAGCAGCCACACAAACGAAGTGAAAGGCTAGAGAAGCTCCTCCTCTTAGCATACAGCAAGCGAACAGAGTTTGGAACAACCTCATCAGAAGTCAGAAGCGCTCAGCCTGAAAGCTTACACAGTCCATTCAGGATCCCGGGGGCTAAAGAACGAAGCGATGGCCTTAGAATTGAGCAGTTTCAGCGAAGGGCCTGACTCGATGCACCTTGGGGTTTTGTACTGGTTGATGGAGCTGCCTTGTCTGACCAAGAGATCCATCAGAGCATCAAAGGTGCCAGCTTCAACCAGCCGTATCTCCAGTGGCCCTACAGACTTGTCACGGGCTCTGCAGCGCCTGTAGACGTAGTCAAGTGACTCCTCCACAGCAATGCAGCAGCTCTCGAGGAGCTGGGCATCGAGAGGTGCGCAAGGGGCTGTGCCTTCGGAGGTGTACTTGATCTCCCAGAACAGAACGTAGTGGCCCGGGACCGTGGAGGTGTCGGTGCAGCTAGTGTACTCTAGGAGGAGGTGATTTCGGTTCTCCAGGATTTTCTTGGCCCGGGAGACACTACCGTGGAGATCTTCCTCGTTGGTCTTATCTGAATCAACGCTGAGGATCACATTCCTCCGGCAGATGAATTTGAATTGTGGTGCACGGTTGTAGAAGCCTGTCACCTGAAGTACATCCCCTACCCTGTACCTGTAAAGACCTGAACAAAAAAAATGGAATTCAGATTTACATTACGCAGTGTTGGTCTTCACAATGCTGGCGATGGATTTTATTAGTTATTACCGAGTATTAGTTGAAGTATAACTGTGCAGATTATAGTTATAATATTTGCAAGAGGTGTTCTTACCGGCAAATGTGGTAACTACAAGCTCGTAGTAGCATCCAACCTTGACATCCACCAGGCTGACAAGCTTGTCATTCTCCACCACCTCATCATCCTGCACTGACTTGAGGCCATCCTCCAGTGGTACGAACTCAAAGTAGGCCATGTTCGGAAGGATGGTGTAAGACACGTCTTTTGGGCTGCACAGCGGCCTCAGATTGACGCCAAAGTAGCTTTCTGAGGAAGCATACATGGTGCAGACCAAGGGAATCCTACCATCACTGTAGAATTCAAGCATGGGGATATATTGTGCCATCGTTCCTGTAAGAACAGCTTCGATGTACTTAACATTAGGCCAAAGCCTACAAAGAACTCCCTTCCATGACTTTGAGCTGCATATCACCTCAATTTCATCAGCTACCTCAGGGTTGGGCTGTGCAAGAAAACTCTCCATGGCCAACCGGCATGTCGTGTTGGTGATATTGGAATTGATCTGACCGGTTCGGATGTCAGTAACTAGGTCACACCAATGCTTCTCAAGAAAACTGATGGACCGAAGGAATGCTGAGGCAAAAACTGCTCCGAGACGAACAACATTCCGACGTTCTACCAGGCCACAGAGTAGCTGGCAGTACATGCTCTGCTGGCTGTCAGGGCAAAGAATGACCTCATCAGGACTGGTATAGCTGTTGTAGAGGTCATGTTTTCGCTGCAAGAACTGAGGGCTCTTATAATAGCTAGTGAGGACTGATCGGACTGGAATGCCAGCATTTGTCAATGTTTCAGCTTTCACAAAGAGAAGATACATGGCCTTCCCCTCGTCAAGGTCTTGTATATACCTGGAGACTTGACTAAGTCAAAAATTGTTACAACCATGGTAAAATCTAACAGCAGACTCTGAAACCTTTGAAATGTACTGATAGGACATTCTCTAAGATCCTTCTTTAATTATGTTGAATGCAATGCAAGCAAGTGCAAAAAGACGTGATAATACATGAGATGAAGAAAAGCCGGCAGTTTATCCCAATTCCAAGTATCACGATAAAGCAAAATATCTTTCGAGACTGTTAAATGCATATTTAAGAAATACTGAAACTCTTATTATGCTAAATAATTTGCTAAAGCAGAAATCTAACATTTCAATTTGTTCGAAGCCTTTTTAACTAATGGTTGGAAGGGGGTACTTCAACTTGTGATAAGTATTGTCCCATCTTTTGTGTACTCCACCTTGACCCAACTTTTGTAACTAACACCATTTTTTTTTGAAAGGTCGCAAAAGCTTTGCCGAAATATATTAGTAGGGAAAAAGTTATTTACAAAAGAGATTTACAAGGTTCTGCTGAGGTCTTCCAAAACACTGAAACCATAACTAACACCAAAATTAAAAAACTTCCCAGAAAAGATTGGTACCTTCTAGCCTTTTACAAAGGAGAGGTGAGAATTATTTCTCTTTCAACTTTCAAATAGTAATCACGAGAAGAAACTTTGGATAAGTGCCATCATGATTTAAGCTAGTGCCTTTTGACTGAACAAAGACATGGGTCAAACAATAAGAGGTTTATAGAATAGGTAAATCCTGATGTATCTTCATTTATTTGGCTTTCCAAGTGCCTTCATGAAAACTAATGAATCTATAAGAAAACAAACTTACTTATTCATGATAGGCATTATCAGACTATACAAGTACGTTCGGCGGTAAAGATCCTCTGAGATGGATGGCATCAATCTTGGTTCACCCCGAGAAGTTCCCGAGCTAATAAATAAAAATATTTGGTTAATATCAGTACATCAATATTCTTTCAAGACAGAGAAGAGTGATAGGTTTTCCTATACACATTTCCAACTTCAGTGTGTGGTTCACAAAAGTGACAGATGAATGCTGGCAGAGAACATAATAGGGGAGATAGGTGTTACTCAATGTAGAGAAGACTAATAGTGACAGGTCCCTAAGAGTTCCTTACCATCAAAATACATGAGAAATTATGCTAACCACATTAAGCACAATATAAAACAGTTAATGCTTGTTACATTAATAGGTTAATGGGCTTCATAGTCCATGGATGCAAACATGTAAAGTGATAACAATATTCTGGGGGTGAAATAGCTTGAAGCGGAAAAGCTTCAAGCTATTGTAAGCAATATTGTACTCTACATGAACCCTAAACTACTATTAACCTGTTAGGGTTGGCAGAATCTGTAACCAAGTGGAAAAACAGAACACGTTACACAACACTTACAAATCAAAATTTATATACCAGCATGCATTTGATAATGAAATGATCTAACCTTAATGCTTCTTTTCTTCCTATTAGTCGCATACTCGCATTATACAATAGAACCAACTTCCACTAAGCCAGTACAAAGGGTCATCTAATAAATGTATGATCATCCTTATACCTCTACTATATGCATGCAAATAAAATAATCAGGAAGAGACTCACACCTTCGGAGCAGCTCTACAATTTGTTCTCCACATAAAATTGACGATCTTTCACCAGCAGCAATCCTTGAAATGTAGGGTTGGACCACATCATACGTCACTACTGGAACCTGGCTCTTGAAGGCAGAAATGTCTATGGATCCATTCATGAATTTATTCAGGTATTCAGCAGCCCGATTCTTCTCAAGAATTTTACTCAATATAACCTCTTGTTCTGCTTTGGCATTTATAGTCAGTATTTCAAGCTCTTGAAGAACACCGTTTCCTTTGTAACCTAACTTATGCTCATCCATGTTAGAAGAATTAGAGATGGGTCTTATTTAGAAGAGGAAGACAATGGCTCAAAGTAACGATTTCTGGAGCAAGCGCACCCCTTTTATAGACAGTGCATGATCCGAGAAGCATGTCCTCTTAATGTCTCTACCTTATCCGAGAGACTACTAAAAAATATCTGAAGAATACTTTCTTCAACCAATTAAAACATCCAGAAGAAACTACAACACTCATGAGACAAAAGGTGCAGGTTTAGAGACACTAGTAATTATCTAACCACCCCTAAGGTTATCAATAAAACACATAAGGAATGCACACTATCTGCCAGAATACAGAGGCAGACGCAACCAACAAAGTGGGTAGCACTGAAAGATAACAACGCATTTATCCACTTCAAAAGTTATTCTTGAAATGTTGCATCAGCACCTGAAGCCTTCATAAGACATTATATGCCATCCGTGCAAGTGCTTGCGACGTCAAATGCCTACTTGGAGCAACCAAGGATTAGTCTCGACAATAAACATGGGCACGCTGCCTATAAAGCAGGGGCAAGGCTGTGTTGAGAGTAGGGGGTGCAAATGCACCCCTTAAAAAAATGATAAAACAGTGACTTTATCTAATTTTTCACCATATATGCACCCCGTACATAACATGTATATACACCCATAAGGCAAGAGTACCCCTCCCCTCTAATTTGAGTTAGCTTCGCCAGTGCTATAAAGTATAGGATGTGGATGCATAATTTTCTCAATTAAGCTACTCCCTCCGTTCCAAATTATAAGATGTTTTGACTTCTCTAGATTCATAACTTTTGTTACGCACCTAGATATATATTATGTCTAGATATATAGTAAAACATATGAATCAAGAAATACCAAAACATCTTATAATTTGGGACAGAGAAAGTATATATTTAACTAAACACCGTTAGAAAGGCGGTGGTTGCAATTGAATAGGAGAAATACTTTCCCAGTCGAAATGACAGAATTGCACAATATTTCAAAAGGATGTGTCAATGGAACAAGCGTGTCCGTGATAATTGCAGCTGTTGTACTTTCTTTGTGATATTGTCTGGTCAATTCAGAATAAAGGGTGTGGATTCCCAAGTTGCATATGCTCGCCGCATATGGTGGCCTCCCTGTGGTGGTGCAACATAGAATGCTCGCTCGCATGCGTGCCGCCTTTGCTCTGCATCTATCCACTGCCTACAGAAAAAGGAAAATAGTGCACAAATTCTTTGCTAAAGTGTAAGCAGAGATCGGTAGCAGAAGGAATTGGAGAGGAATTTGTAGAATTGGGGAAGAACTCAGAGAGAAGGAGCAATACGCAAGGTAGGAGGAGGAAAGATTAGTTCATGTTTAGTTTGGCTAATATGTTTGTTACCCCTCTTCCAAGCCTTTCCTGCCCCTTTAATACATCGGCTCATGCCGTGCGCGAGTCACACAGGCGCAATAGCTGTGTCTAATCCTTCGACTCACGCCCACTCAGGCCCTGTGATGAGCCGGTTCGGTCGCTTGGTGTGGTCGCTCTTCTTCCTTGGCGCTGCGCCCGCCTTCCTGCGTGCCGGACCAGCTACAGTGCCTTGTGCTTCTTCAGGCTTCTCATGTTGCTGGCCACGTGGGAACCTTTGCTTTAGTGCTTCGAGATCTTCCCATGTTGCTAAGGAGCGTGGCAACCCAGACCACAGAATCAACACTTGAGGAACGACAGTATTGTCAGAAGTGCATACCCCTCGCTGAAGTACCTTGAGTGGATATTGTTGACCATCGAGCGACTGAGGAAGAGTGCAGACAACATGAGAAGGGGGTACTGCCACTTTCAGCTGAGATACATGAAACACCGGATGGGTGGAAGTAGAAGCCGGGAGAGCAAGTTTGTAAGCCACATCACCAATTTTGTCCAGCACCTGAAAGGGACCAAAAAATTAGAATGCCAATTTCTGATTAGACCGTATAGCGAGGGAAGCTTGCACATAGGGTTGGAGCTTCAGATAAACCCAATCACCAACTGAAAACTGCCTCTCTGATCGGGATTTGTTGGCTTGGTGCTTCATACGTTCCTAAGCCCGAGTGAGATGTTGCTGAATCAGAGTAGTGTCAGAGATTTTTCCTCAGCCCATTCAGACAGTGGCAATGATGGAGCAGCTGACTCAACAGTCAGTCCAAAGTGGCGAGGCTGCTATCCATACAAGACGTAGAACGGTGAGTATCCCAATGAAGAGTGCCACGTTGTGTTGTACCAGTACTCAGCAAGGTATATCCAGTCAAGCCATTTGGAGGGGCCAGCGCTGATAAAGCATCTGAAGAACGTTTCCATGCATTGATTCACACGTTCTGTCTGCCCATCCGTTTGAGGATGGTAAGTCATGGACATTTTCAAGGTAACATTGGCCAAACGAAATAACTCTCGCCATAATTGACTGGTGTAGACCCGGTCTCTGTCAGAAACAATGGAATCCGGCAGGCCATGAAAACGGTATACCTGCTGAAGAAATAGCTTGGCCACTGACAGAGCCATATATGGATGAGCTAAGGGAAGGAAATGGGCATACTTAGAAAACCGATCTACCACCACCAAGATGCAATTCTTGCCACCAGATGATGGGAGCCCTTCAACAAAGTCCATGAAAATGCTTTGCCATGCCATTGATGGAACGAGAAGTGGTTGCAGCAGTCCCGGGTAGCGTGCACTGTCGGGCTTAGCTTGCTGACAAGTCGAGCAAGAAGACAGACTAATGAACCGATGACTTGAGACCAGTCCATGAGAACAGCTATTTGATCTGGTTGTAAATGGCCGAAAAACCAGAATGACCGCCCACGGCTGATGAATGAAATGCCTGAATGATTCGTCGCTGAAGACTTTTGTCAGCACCGATCCAGAGGCGACACTTATGACAGAGCAAGACTTGGTGTAACTCATAGTTGGGTTCATCAGAAGGAGATATGGCCAGATGCTTGAGCAGGTCCTGTGCTTTAGTGTCATCAGTGTAACTAGCAACGACCTCATCCAACTAAGAAGGCACAGGTGCGGACATAGCGAACACTTCAGCAGAAGTAGCTATATGAGATAGTGCATCACTGACTTGGTTATCAGAACCCAGTTTGTACACAATGCGGTATTGCAAACCAAGAAGCTTGGTGAATACTTTCTATTGGCAAGCCGTGTGTAACCGCTGCTCATTCAAATGGATTAAGCTCTTTTGGTCGGTGAAGATGAGAAACTCACCAAGTTGTAGGTAAGAGCACCACTGTTCAACAGCAATCAAGATCGCCATGTACTCTTTCTCATATGCTGAAAGACCTTGGTTCTTGGGGCCAAGAGCTCGACTAAGAAATGCAAGTGGATGACCATTCTGTAAGAGCATAGCACTGACCCCCAAATTGGATGCATCAGTCTCAATGCAGAACTGCTGAGTGAAATTCGGTAATGCCAAGACAGGTGCTGAATTGAGGCACTCTTTCAGAGTATTGAACGTTGTAGTATGTTCAGTCGTCCAGATGAACAAGCTATGTTTTTTGATAGTGATGTCAGGGGCTTTGAAATGATAGCATAGTGGCTTACAAAGCGTCTGTAGAATCTCGAGAGACCTAGAAAGTTGCGTAGCTCTTTAACATTAGATGGCTGTGGCCAGGACATAATATCAGCAACCTTGGACAGATCGGTGACAACTCCCTGGGCACTGATAACGTGACCTAGGTAAGAGATCTCATTCTGAGCAAATTTACACTTGGATAATTTGATGTGCCATTGATCGTTGCCGAGTAATGTGAACACTTGCCGAAGATGCTCAATATGTTCCTCCAGCGTGCTACTGTAAATAAGGATATCATCGAAGAAGACAATGGTACAACGCCTGAGGAGGGGTTTGAGAGTTGTGTTAATAGCTCCCTGAAACATGCCTAGTGCACCTTACAGTCCAAAAGCAACCACTCGAAACTCATAGTGCCCAACATGAGTGGAGAAAGCAGTCTTGTATTCTTCTCCCACCTCATTCGGATCTGGTGATAACCAGACAACAGATCAAGGGTGGAAAACCAGCGTGCACCCGTGAGCTCATCCATCAACTGCTCAAACACCGAAATGGGAAAAGCAGTTTTAACTGTCAGGGCATTTAGGTAGCGATAATCAACACAGAACCGCCAAGTTTTGTCCTTCTTACGAACCAACAATACTGGTGAATTTAAAAGAAGTATTGGGTTGTATGATTCCCTGCTGAAGTATTGCATCAACCTATGCTTTGATCTCATCTTTCAGAGCAGGAGGATATCGGTATGGTCTGACAGTGATAGACTGTGCCCCTTCAATCAGTGGAATAGCTCGTTGGTGGAGCCATCAATTGAGGAAACTTAGAAAGCAACTGTTGTATATTTGATGAAATGTCAGGAGGGCAGTCTTGTGATACTGACGAGAGACCAAAAAGTTGTACCAACAATTCGGTGTCGCTGTCAGAACCAGATGTGGAAAGGCCGTGCAGACAAACTATAGCTCCATGGTAAGGAATAGCCAACCAATGATTCTTCCAATCAACCTTCATAGGACTGAAAAGTTGGAGTCAATCCATGCCCAAGATAACATCATAAGTACTGAGTGGTAATACTTTCAAGTCGTGTTGAAATTGATAGTGGTCTATAGACCAAACTGCGGCTTGAATGTAAGTGGAACAAGACATACTCTCGCCATTAGCAACCCTAACTGACAGTGGCTTGCGCTGAATTTGAGGAACAGATAACTGGTGCACCAATTCCTTACTGATGAAAGAGGTTGAGCTGCCGGAATCAAGTAAGATCAAGATGGGTTGGTTTTGAAAATGGTAACATATCAGGTGCAAACCAACCAACCTGTGCAAACTTGAAAACTATCAATCAGGATCACTAGATGTTGATCCAATGGATGGGGTGAGGGGCCACCTCTCACCCCATCCATTGGATCAGCATCTAGTGGTCCTGATTGGTAGTTTCAAGTTTACACAGGTTGGTTGGTTTGCACCTGATACGTTGCCTTTAAAAACGGCCTTGAAACT